GCTGCCAGCCTGCTATGCGGCGCTGCCGGGCGGTGCGTGCTGCTAGGCGGCCCGCTGTGTGTGCTGCTGCCTATGATTGCGCTGCAGCGTGCTGCCGGGTGGCGTGTCCATAACAGAAATTTGAATGGGAAGGTTACTAAGCCGGATGAAACTGATGCCAAAGGTTATGCACAATGGAAGTTGGATAATGGGAAATTAGTTTCTTCGATACTCAGCTCAATTGTTTCTCATATCGTTGTACCCATGAGAAGGATGCATACAGCTTATGAGATGTATGCATACTTAAAGAAGGACCACCAATCCAACATGTCTAGACAATATTAGATTGAATAAGTTTTTGCCTACTGCTAGGGAGATAAGAAGACTCAGGAATATTATACCAGTTTCATTGACTTGCTGGAAGAATATGAGCTTGTCCATACAGACCCTTTGAATCCCATAAAATGTGTCAAGTATCTACAGCAACACTTTGAGAAGAGAAAGGTGAATCAATTCCTTATGAGACTTAGGCCCGAATATGAGATAACCAGGTCTAACATTCTGAATAGAAGAACTCTTCCAAACCTGGATTCAATTATTGGTGAACTGTTGAGGGAGGAGGCTAGACTCTTAACTGCTACAAGTTTTGATGAAAAATTAATCGACTTTGGGGCTGATACAGCTTTTGTTGTTCAAGGAAACAGAAATCTGGTGCTAAGGACTCCTCCAAAATAAAGAGTTACGAATGCAAGGGGTTTCATCACATTGCTTCTCATTGTAAGAAGAAGAAGAATGTTTGTACTTATTGTAAGAAGCATGGTCACATCATCCTAGATTGTCCCATTAGACCATCTAAAGGTGTCCAGAAGAAGAACCAACCATGTGCATATCTAGTGACTGAGGGCCAAACCACTAATACCTCCTCTTCCAAGGGTGAGGCTTCTACATCGTCTACATCTATGGATGAGGACAAAATTCGGCAACTGGTATCCTCTGCATTTTCTGCTATTGGCTTGGCTAGTGAGTTTTCTGGTTACTGTTATTCTCAATCTCATATTTGGATCATTGATTCTGGAGCAACTAATCACATGATAGGGGCTTACCCTGAACCCCTAGATAGCATTTCTAAAACCCATCATAGACATATCATTATTGCTAATGGTGAAAAATGAATATCATTGGTAGCAATGACATAGGGGTGGCAACGAGCCGAGCTTTTTAGAAGCTATTCGAGCTTGGCTAGTGAGGCTCACGAGCTTCTATATATAATATTTTTATTATTTTTATATATAATAATAATAACTAATTATTATAATTATTAATTTTTTAAATATCAAATAAAAAATAAAGTTTTGATATATAATTTTTTACTTTTATAAAGCATTTGACTCACAGTCAAGCTCGAACCAAGCTCAAGCTCGAGCTCGAGCCTCATACTGTCTTGGTGAGCCGAGCTCGAATAGCTAGCTATTTGTCTCGGCTAGACTTGAATCCACCCCTACAATGACATATCCCTTAAGTTGTCATCTACTGCCTCATTTCCTCTTACCAAAACCTTTCTTGTTCCTAACTTTACTACTAATCTGATTTCTGTTGACCAACTTGTTGATGAAGGATATACACTTACATTTTCTCATGATGGTTGTCTAATCCAGGACTGGTACACTGGGAAGGTGAAAGGGAAGGGGTGTAGGCTAGGCCATTTATTTGCATTGGAGTTCAAGAATTCTAAAGCACCAGCATCATCAACATATTTTTAATTCATCCACTTCTTAATCTTTTGTTAGGCAAAGAAATAACGTTTGGGATTTATGGCATAAACATTTAAGACAGTATACATAAAGCCTCCTCTGGGATACAGTGGTGATCCCTCCCTTGTTTGTTGGTTAAAGAAATCCTTATATGGTCTCAAACAAGCCCCCGGGGCCTGGTTTGAGAAGTTCTGAGATATTGTTGTTGGCTATCATCAGAGAGCCTCTAATCATTCTCTCTTCATCCGTCAAAGATCTCAAGGCATTACAATATTTTTGTTGTATGTAGATAATATATTGTTGACAGAGGATGATGAAGATGGAATTCAGGAACTCAAGTCTCTTCACAATTCATTTCATATAAAAGACTTGGGTTCTCTAACTTATTTCTTGGGGCTGAAAGCACACTGTAGCAACCGAGGTTACTTTGTTTGTCAGCACAAGTATGCATCTGATCTTGTTAAGCTTGCTGGTCTTACAGACACCAAACAGGTTGATACACCTCTGGAACTCAATGTCATGTTGTATAAATTAATGGGGTCTTGCTTCCTAATGCTACTCTATATCGACAACTGGTTGGCTCCTCATCTATCTCACAATGACTCGTCCAGACATTTCTCATACAGTAGTTAGTCAGTTTGTTTCAGTCCCACGTCAACCCCACATGACTGTTGTCCACCGGATCATCTGTTATGTTCGTGGCACTTTACCTCAGAGACTATTCTTTTCTTCTTCCTCTCCTATTCAGTTGAGGGCTTATGCTGATGCAGATTGGGCCGGTTACCCCGATACCAGACGGTCTACTAAAGGTGGTTTGTCTTTTTGGGTGACTCCCTTATCTCCTGGAAATGTAAGAAACAACAAATAGTTTCTAAATCATCTATAAAAGTCAAATATAGGGCTATGTCATCAGTATGCAGTGAGATTGTTTGGCTTCAATTTTTCCCTGCTGATCTTGGTGTTCACCTCCCTATGCCTATTCCTTTCTATGTTGATAACACCAGCACCATAAAGATTGCATCTAATCCAGTGTTCAATGAGAGAACCAAGCACATTGAGGTGGACTGTCACTTTATTAAAGACCTATTTCTTGCTAGCTCTATCTCTTTTCCATATATAAATTCCAACTTGCAAGTTGTTGATATACTTATGAAACCTATGACGAGATCTAGATATCTATATCTGTGGGCAAACTGATGCTTAAGTCTCAGCATCAGTTTGAGGGGGAGTGTGGAGACACTTGATGTACTGTAGTCCTATAGCCCCTGATGTACTATAGTCTTTGTCTTCCTTTTATCTTTCAACCCTCCAAGAGCCCTTTTTGTAATTATTCCTTTTTCACCTTTAGCCCTTCAAGGGCTCCTTTGTAAATACATATAATTAATATATATTTACTCTTTGTGGTGGGGGTCAATTCGTTCTATTAGACACCCCTGAAACCTTTGGTGTTCTCACAAACTGGAAGATTGAAAATTTCTACGTTTACCAAAAGTGTCTGCAATTTTACATTACCACATTGGGAACCAAAAATAATGAAATTTAATATTGGAAATTAGCAATGCACAATGTGGTCTGTTCAATTATCAAAATGAAGATCACCAGCAAGGTATCCATAGTATGCTTGATGATCATGGAGATTACCCACCTTTACAGCTGCAACCATAACCCAAAAATCTGATGAAGAAGAATCAACTTCAGCTGAACTATCTTCAATTATTTGGCGGAGTCTTGAACCTGCCATGCAAGCATCATATTCAGTTATTAGTTCATAAAAAGTATAGACACAAACAACACAGTTGTTTCTCACCATGAATTTTACAACTGAAACTGAACAGGAATTAGAATGCATCCTAGTAAATCAATTCCACTTGTCACTAGGCTTTCCTTTACTATTAGTACTTTTTTCTTTTGGAAGAAAGAGAAATTATTCAGTGATAGTCAATATTCTACTCAACTAAGACTTCATGGGGCTGGCTACATGAATCCCGTTTCACTATTCAATTCTGTGTAGTGTCATATCCCTAGGTTAAACTATGGCCCTCAAATCATTTCTAACTACTTAAACTTATGTCCATTTTGGCCTGCCCTAGTTCTACTAGACCCTTCAACTTGCAAATTGCAATACATCACTTCTTCTCACTGGTACTGTATATGGTCTTCTCTGAATGTGACCAAACCTAGTCTACTTTCCCACATTTTATCACCTATGGGGCCCACAATGTTCCAAGAATATATTCATTTTTGGTCCTATCTTTTCTAGCTTCCCCACTCATCCATCTCAACATTCATTTTTCTGCTTTACTATTTTTTGAAAATTTTATTTATTGACTGTCCAACTACGGGTGTAAGTGAGTCAAGCTACTCGAGCTCAACTCGCTGAATAGTTGGATTCGACTCACAGATGATCAAGTTTGACTCGAGGTCAAGTAGTTAATTGAGTTGAGATTTGAATTCATAATACTTGGATTGGATCAAGTGACTCACGAGCCTAATCGAGTATATCAGCAAAAGAGAATATTTTGTGTTATTATGTTATTTAATATTTTATGATTCATTTTACCTAGGGTTGCCTTTTTGCATTTGATTCATTCTCTGTTTCAACCTTCAAGCTACCACCACTTTCTATCCTCTATTCAAGTCCCAAGTTCAACTTTGGCTTGATGGCAATTGAGTCAATACTCAAGTATGTTGAGTATCTCATCGAATTCAAGTAGGAAAAAACAAAACTCAATCAAGTTCAAATTAAGATAAAGTAGCTAGTTTTTTAGTCGAGACAAGCTCAAGTAGTGTAATGTATCAAGTTGGCTCCACCCGATTATACCCCTACACCCTGCACCAAACAACTAGGAATGCAACTTGGATGCGCTGGATCAGGTTGGGGGTCAACCTTAGCCAAACCTTAAGACTTGGACTTCAGGTTCGGGTTTGGCTCAACTTGAGATCAAGTTTGAGTATACTAACCCAGAAAAGCTCAAGCTGAGCTTAAGCTTGGGGAAGGCTTGGTGATCAGGCTTAGGTGGGTTGCTCAAATTTGAAAGAGTTTTTTAATATGTTTTGCACATCCACCTTTCACTCGATTTTATAACCCAATTTAGATATGGAATGGATCAATACTATGCACAAATGCAATTAATAAAATATGCATATATATAAATTTTATACATATATCATTTTTTTATAAGTTATACATGCATATATCATTATCATCATCATCATCATCTATTCAGTGTCATATCCATTGTTAAATTATGGGCACTTAAATCACTTCGTACTACAACACCCAAGTCCTTTTTGGTCTGGCCCTAGCTCTTCTAGCCCCTTCAAGCTGTAAAGATGCATGTAACCAAACCACAGTAGTCTACTTTCTCTCATTTTATCACACTTATTGGAGCTACTCCTATGTTCCTTCATTTGACTTCATTTCTGACCCAATCTCCCACTTTTACCACTTATCCATTTAAAAATATACATTTCTGCCACACTCATTTTTTGAACACATTTCTATGCCATACATACATATATGCATATATATAATTAAAATTATGTTTGTATAAAATAAAATGTATGTGTTATTTGTACATGTTTGTGCATGAGTATAAGCTTAGGTTAATTATATACATGTTATGAATAACCAAATATACTCTAGGATGCATATGATAGTATAACTATGCAACATACATACATGTATACATATAACAAATACACAATATACACATCTACATGCATGTATGTCATACAATGCCAGCTGGGCTCAGGTTGGGTTTGGGCCACCCGAAGCATCAATCCAAGCCCAACCCAATTTATGTCAGACAAAAGTTTTTTTATCAGGCCCAGCCTAGAGCCCGAAAATTCAAGCCCAAACCATGCAAAAACTCAGGTTGGGCCAACGCAAGTTGCAGCCTGCAAACAACATTGCAGTCCTTATAACCATTTATAAATTTTCCTTTTAGCATGTTGTTTTCCCTATGACGAAGGACTCCAAATGCATCCCTTCAATCTTACCCATCCCAATCTAATTTTTGGACTCCAATCCTAATTTTACCCTGATTTTAATCCTATTACTGTTGAATTTAGGTTGCATATTTTCTATTTTAGTTATACTTGTTTTAAAACCTCTTTTTTCTAAAGTGTTTGTTCAATGTCTATAAATCTAATTTTGCATTTAGTTCCATTCTAGTTTCATCAGTTAAAACTATGTAATCAGAAAACAACAGTCAATTCATCAATAATTAGTGCAAACAAATAAGAGCCAAGTGCTGAGACATGGTGATTAAAAACTTTGATGTCTCTTCAACTGGTGCTCTAGCATTGGCCCTCAATATTAGTATATATTTTCTATACCAATATATAATAAGAATACTTATTATGTAGTTTATACCCCAAAGGGGGGAGAACCCCTGTACACAAGATGGGATTGGCTAGGATCTGGTATTATCCCCTTTTAGATCAATGGAATATCATGTCTAAATTTATCTTTGAAGCTGTTATTTAGGGGTATCTGGGTCTAAAGGAACTCCAGATTCTTTAATGATAGGCTGCATCCTCTACAGACTACCACTCATCCGATCATCACTAAGGTTACTGATTGGGTTGAGATAATAGAGTACATGGGGTTTCAAGTTGATTCTACCATTAGAGATTGGAAGATTACAAAGGCATCCCATACCCCACAAATGGAGATCACCAGGCCTTGTCCACCCATTAACAGCTGGGTGGGTTTTTTTACAAGTATGAACACCTGGGTGATTGATAGTTGCTCTTTGGAAAACCTGGAGACTAGGAGTAGATGGAATTGTCATGGACGGTAAAGCAACAATGGGGCTTTCCTGTTCAAGTTTCATGGACCATGTTAACACTGCCCCTTAGATTTTGGCCATCAAAACATTATGTGTTGATTAATTTTTCAGGTGATTACTATGTGAAGGAGATTTGAAGATGGCAATAGATTGGGAAACAGAGATTCTCCTGGTCTTAGAGATTTAAGATGAGATTCAAGAGTTTAGAGTCTTGAATATCTCAATCAGATGGATGTCAAGGTCAGCTACCTCAGAGGCTTACAGGCCTACAAGGGAAAGACTTGGGAACAATTTGCATTTGGAACCATCTTTGCAAGGAAATTTCATAATTTTATATGCACATGCAGCATATATATATATATATATATATAGAGAGAGAGAGAGAGAGATCAGTAACAGAAACATTTCATTAATGAAAAATGAGAGATAGGTACAAAGGCAGGGGGAAGATACTCTCTTAACTCCCCCAGAAGGCAAAAAAAAGAATTACATATAAGCCCAGAAAATTTGATTTCTTCCCACCCCTTGTTTGGCCAGTGCATCTGCAAAAGAATTAGCACACCTCTTGACCCATTGTAACCTCACTATCATATCCCTAGTCAACCATTTAAAGATTCTTTTTCATTTAGTAACTCCACATGCTGCTCTCCTCCTTTTGCAGCCAGTCTATTACCAATTTAGAGTCTCCCTCAATAACCAAACTTCTTATGTTAAGCTCCTTAGCCTTTTTGATGCCTTCCAAGACAGACATAATTTCAGCTCGGAGAGAACCTCATACCCCAATTAGGCCCGAAAACATAGCAATAATCTCGCCCTCCTCATGAGGAACATTCTTGTTAGGATCTGAACAAGCCACTTTCTTCCAATTGTTTAGCAGAGCTGATGTAGAAATTGTCTTCAAATAACTTCAAAGATTCCACTCATTCTATTACCCTTGTAGTGATTACTTCAATTATTGTCCCTCTATTTTTTGATAAATAAATTATTGTCCCTCTATTCCTTTCCTTATCGGCAAATATCCACGTGCATATTTCATATGGGTGAATTATTCTTCTGGGCTTTCTTAATGGACATTTGGACATCCATGAATATTTGAATTTTGACTAATCCACCCTTTTTCTAATTTCGGGATTGAACATTCTTGTACATTTTTTAAATCCTTCCATCTAATGAAATTTATTATTATCAATCAAAAAGAAATCATAATGACTATTACAGCTTTTAATCCATCATGATCAATATTCGGATACAATTTCCCATGGAAGCTTTAACTCAGTATAAAGTAATTCATGCTAGTCTGCAATTATATACTCACTAATTCCCCGAGGAGTAGAGACTTTGAATGAGGCCTCAATGGCTTCCTTGTAGTTTTCTTCATCAATATCAATCATTCTTGATTTCAGAAGATCCTAAAATGTTCAAATGCAAACAAAATCAAATAACCAAGCAGCTATAAAGAAAATAAACAAACAGGATAAAGAAGGAAGCAACTTTGAAAACCTTGAACTCCTTTTTCTCTTCTCTGGTTGATGGAAGACAACCACCATGTTTGTTTGCCCATTCCTCTGCCATCTTAACAAGGATGACAACATATGGTGTGTGTTTATGGATAACAGGATCTGTCGCATTCAAGTCAATTGATTCTGCAAACCTACAGTGAATTAATACATAATCAGAAACTTAAGATCAAGAAACGGAAAGCAGTGTATGTGCAGAAAGGTTAACAGGAGTAAAAGTAACAGAGAGACACCTCTGCAGTTCAGGCCAAGGATCGTTTAATCGGAGGTCATCAAGAAAATGATCAGGCTTTGACTCAATCACATCATGTTCCTGCCATGCAGAAGAAGCATTGGGAATTAATTTCCCTTGTTCACCTCAGTGAAGCTGTCCTTTGCAATAATGAGAAAGATAGAATGTTGTATACAAGAATTACCAAACAAAACATCAATAGAGAAGGAGATAATGCAGGATATAACAAATACTTCACATACAGGTAGAAAGTCAGCTCTTGCCGTTGATTTTTAACATTTTTACAAACAGTTCTTGTGAAGCCCATCATCCAAATGATTGCAACTACCAAAATGCATAGACATTTGACAAGATGACTCCCCAGGAAGCCCCATTTTCTACCCACCCCAAAACATGGAAATAACATTTCCTAATATGTAAAACATTTATACTTATCAAAAAAGGGGGAAATTACAGGGAGGTACCCTGAACTTGCGACAATGAAGTACCCTGTACTTTCAGAAATCAACACTCAAGTCCAAGACTGTTAACTAATGTTTCGCTGAGCAGTAAATTTACCAAAATGACCATTCTCGGTTTGAGTAGCTGAGAGAATAAAATTGCAAAATGACAGTAATGGACATGGTTAATGTGCAGATCGTTGTGTTGCTTCAACACATTCAACTCTGAGAAAGAAAATGGAAAAGAAAAAGGTCAAGAACTAGGATTTTAGAGACTCAATAAAAGAGAGGGCAAAACAGTGTCAGAAAATATAAAAAGGTTAGCTTTGGGACTGGATTTTAAATATTTCAAGGCACACATGACATCACATGCTCCACATGATTGACAGAATTCTAACACCTGGACTTGAGCGTTGAATTTTTAAAGTACAAGGTACATTGTTGTTGCAAGTGAAAGTTGAGACTCTTAAGTGCCACTACCCCCAAGTGCAGGGTACCTCCCTGCAAGGTCAAAGTATCAACACAATTAGGGATGCAAGCGGATCAGATGGTATTCAAATGGGGGTATCCAAATCTGATCTGATAATACAAATATTAGATCTGATCTAATCAGATCACACAAACGTTGATTCGAATCCAAATCCATTAAGGATGTCGAATATCTGAATCTAATCCGGACCGACTTAGTTTCTGAAAATTTTAATAAATTATTAAAAGGAAAAGAGAATAACAGTTTATATAAAGAAAAACAAAAAAAATGCCAGTATTTTTTTCAACTATTTCCATCATGTATATACATGCCTTTTGTCTTTTCATAAAAAATTACAAAAATGCAACATAAACATGTTTATAAATAAATAAATAACATATATATAGGATCTGATCAAATAAGGGGGTGGTCCAAATTTGATCTGATTTTTATTCGGATCCTATTATCTGATCTGAAAATCTGACAAGGGATATCCGAGTCCAACAAAATAGGATCGGGTTCGAATTCACATTGCACCCCTAGAAACGATACGCCTCATATCAAGCATTCGTATCATATCAGAAGGTGGTTGACACACCTTTTTCAAGGTTTTTCCCAAAAGTTTGCTTTTTAAATGTTAAAATAGCCATTTATCAAAAAAATGTTAAAACAGCCTTTAAATCGACCCCTTGGCATATTTTAGAAAAAGCATACGAGAACAAGGTTCAAAGTGTTGATACACCCCTTGTGGCATAACGGGGCATATCGATACTTTGAACCTTCTCTCCTTGTAATTTTCCCAAAGAAAAATTTACAACAATCATGGATATTATCATTAGAAATTACCAGCCAATAGATTTACTTTCCTCCAAAAAAAAAAAAAAAACAGGTTTACCTTTCCAGGAATACCAAAAAGTAGAGAAAAGAAATGTTCCAGTGCTTTACTTACATCACATTACCTTCAAACTGATTCGCACAAACCCAGTCAGGCCATATGAGCGTGCAAATATCAACATAACATTAGACTGCCTACAGATTCTATCCAGCTTCAGCATGGAAGTTTCCACCAGCTGATAACAAGACAAGAACTTAATGATCAAAAAAATGCAACAAAACATCATGGTAGAATCCAAATATATTGCAGGTAAAGAAAATAAAGGTAAAAAATGGTTTAAGGTTATAGGACATTTCATTAACAAAATAAACAACATGACTCAGAAGTTATGAAAAAAAGTCAACTGTGACAGATAATAAAAAAGCTACAATTAAGCCAAAGAGTAGATGTAAAAAATACCAAGTCAGAAGATTCTTAACAATATACTTGTACTCAAAAAGCTAGAACATACTACAATGCGACCTCTAGCAGATAATACCTTATCAAAACAAACTTCTATCAGACGTTTGGACTTATGGAACATGTAAATCAACCTTGTTCTAATATGCAAAATTTTAGCATCTATTTAGAGGCCCAATATATGCACACCAACCTTGTTAATATACAACATTTCAGCATCTGTAGAAGTCCCCATAACTTGGTCTTTTTTCAAGGCATGGGTTTATCAAGGATACCTTCTGAGCAAGCAAAAACTGACTTAAAGAAATACTGGTAAAGTGGTACCTCTAATTGGAAGCTACTATATACAAAATCATAAAGAATACTAATTGAAACAGGTTGATAAGCATTCCCCAGCCTTCTTCTATGAGATAGATTCAAAGAATTAAGAGAAGCATGGTGCAATTTAGGGAATGTTATTGTTCTCCCCACCATGTCAAGTCAACCAACAGCTACCTGAAGTATGCTTGGTGACTTGGTCCACTACAAAATCTCAGTAACTATATCAATATCATGAGAAAGCTTGTGTGTTCCATATTGGAATAAATTTTTTATAAATAAAAAAGACTTCTTATGAGAGCAACCTTGAGCAACTTTGAAAAACCTACTATTTATTTCTTTTCCATGAATCCCTGTCTCCCCAAAGGCTGCAATTAGCTTGATGTTTCCCTAACATTCAGCCACTTTTTTAACCTACAAGAAATTTTAATGCATGATTCACCCCCCCCAATGACTAATAGTAGCGGTGGGATCGATCTATATCAAGCTGGAAACAGACCAAAAAGCCTTCAGCTTGGTGATTTTGGCACTTGAACAAAATGTAACAATCAGTAGGGGATGGACATAATGTAGCAATGTTTCTAAAAATTAATAACAAAAAATAACAGATTTTATAGGCGGGAAAAGAGGACAGGAATATAGCATGCAAGTTGGGTGAACAATTAGGAAGAACTACTTAGAGGCTTGGGAAAGCCATGGAGTTTGAAATAGTGAAAGTATAATCTCTACTGTTCTAAGATGACTGCAGAAACTTCAAAACAGAAGCATTAAAGAAAAGAGGGTAACAGGTTAGAGAAGAAAGAGGAAATAAAAAGTATGGGAGATAAGTTTGCAATGGAGAAGAATGTAACAAATGAGTAAAACAAGCTTAACAAGTATCATGTAAATGGGTAAGATGAGGTTTTTCTTTGGCATCCAAATGAGAATATATAAATATAATGATTTACCCAACATCTGGTAACCTCATGCATGTTGTATCATTCTCCCTACACTTGAGGATATTTTAGAAGTTAGACTTGCTCAGAAACACCAGCCTTGTTTCCAGTTCTGATAATAACAACCCCCCAAATACACACAGAGGAAAATGAGTCAAAGAAAGAAAAAGGACACCCTGATCATTGCCAAAAACTGTATATTGTGGAAATTCTAGTAGCATATTAATATTGTAGAGTTTTGGGCTGATATAACATGTTTTTTATTTACATAGCATAGTTAGGGAGTTATTGGGCCTTAGGCCCATTAGTCTATGTTTTAAGTTAAGAGTATTCTTAAGTTCTCACAAGTAGCCGGCTTACTAAGGGCATACTTGTCTTTGTACTCTCTTTTATTTATGAGTATATAATCTAATGAAAGGGGCGGTCAGACCTAATTTTGAGCTTCTCCCATTCTCCTCTATCTCTCTTCTCTCTCTTTCTCAGCTGAAACTTTTTCTTCTTTCTTTTACAGTTTTTATATCAAAACAGGTTGTCCAAACTTTTCTACTTGGTATCAGAGCAAGTTTAGTAATTTCTTGAGCTGCTCCATCATGCAGCCTTAGATCGGCTGACTGCATGATAAGGTAAAGGGCTGATCGAAGACTTCAAGTAAGCCCAGTTTTTAGATTTTTTGGTGGAATTGCAATCCCTTGTAGCTGGTCTAAGGTTTTACACCAAAATCAGGAAGAACTGGAGAAAGGGGGAGAGTCCCGATTTAGTAGGACTCTTCAATTTTGACCTAGGAAGTGGCACTCTAGTTTTCTAGGGTTCCCTCAGGTTTTCTGAAGGGGCGGTTCAAGTCCCAGCCTTTTTGAAGGCCTCTAGAGGGAGCGACAGCCTCTTCTCTCTCATCTCCCGCTCCCATGGAAAAAGTAATCTTGGGAGAGAGGGGCTTCTAGGGTTCCAAGAGGGTGTTTGCAATTTCTAAAGAAGATAAATACCTTTCTTTTCATCTCAAAGTGATTTCCTAATCTATTATGGGAGTTATATGGAGTGCTATAGAGTTGAAAACAAATTTACAGGAGAAATGGGATCCAGGGGAGGAGGTGTTGGGGACCTCTTTGGGGCCGAAACCATCACTACAGTCGAGTTGGATGGTACAAACTACTTAGAATTGTCACAATCTATAAAGATGGCCATTAGTGCTCGTGGGAAATTGGGGTATGTCACCGTTGAGGAAAAGAAAACTGAAACTAACCATTCCCGGTGGGTACAGGAGAACTACATGGTGATGACTTGGGTGTGTAATTCCATGTTGCCCCATATAACTAAGAACTTTTTATGGGCTAACACAGCTAAGGAGATTTGGAATGGAGTAGCAGAAACCTATTCACAAAATGAGAATATTGCTAGAGCCTATCAATTGAGAAACCAAGTGATTGCTACTAGGCACGGAGATAAGTCTGTTGCTATTTATTTTTCAGCCCTCAAAACCTTATGGCAGAAGATAGATCATTTGGAGATTGTGGTTTGGGAAATTAGCAAAGATACAACAACTTATCAGAAGATGGTCGAAAAGAATAGGGTTTTTGAGTTTTTAGTAGGACTTAACTCTGAATATGATATTGCACGACAACGTATTCTTTCCCGAGACAGTGTAACTCTCTCTCAGGCATATGCCTCGGTGTTTGGAGAGGAGAGTAGGAGGAATGTGATGATGAAGAACCCAGGCCTTGAGCAGTCAGCTATGGTTAGCATAGTGAAGCCTAGCCGAGTGGGGACAAGGGTGGAAATGAACCGAGGAAGGAGGACAAAAGGGATATAATTTGTGACTACTGTAAGAAACCCAAACATACCAAAGATACCTGCTGGAAGCTTTACCCACACCTTGTACCAAGCCAGCTCAAAAATAAGAAGGGAAATGTGAATATGGTAGTGGTTGGTGAATTATCAAGGCCACCTATCAAGAAGTAGTCATTCTACCTCGTTTGCACACACAGGTAGTTCACATGCCACCTGCAAATTATGTATCCACTACGGGTAAGGTGGGACCTCCCTGGATTATAGACTGAGGAGCCTAAGAACATATGACCAACATTTCCACCATTTTCTCATCATACCACCTCTACTCTGGCAGAGAGAGTTTCCACAGCAGATGGATCACATGTTCCCATTGCTGGGAAAGGGTCTGTCAAGATAACTAATACCACTACCCTACCTTCTGTCCTTCATGTTCCTAGACTAAGCACTAATCTTTTATCTGTTAGTAGCTTGATAAAGAATTTGAACTGTTCTATGATTTTTTCCCCTGGTCATTGTGTTTTGCAGGATTTGGAATCAAAGATGACGATTGGGAATGGTCCTAAGGTGAATGGAATCTATCTTCTCGATGCACTTCCCAGTCATTAGAATCATCATTTTAGCAGGAGTATTGAGTCAAGAGTCAGTGGGTCAGGTTATGCTTTGGCATAATCGGTTAGGGCATTTGTCTTTTGCTTCTTTGCGTTTTTTGTTTCCTAAATTGTTTTTTTTTTATCAGCAAGAAAAATTTTTTAATTAAAACAGAGAAAATCGGTTACAATAGTTAAAGGTTGCAGAGAAGCATTAATCTACTCAACAACCTTGTTTCCTAAATTGTTTCAGTCTGTTAGTTTGTCCAGTTTGAAGTGTGAAGGCTGTCAACTTGGAAAGCATTGTAGGCATTCCTTTAAAGCACGTAATAAAAGATATTCTTTTGTTTTTTATATTGTTCATACAAATGTGTGAGGGTCGTACCATGTTTCCTCCATGGGTGGCTATCGGTATTTTCTTCTATTGTGAATGATTATTCTCGGTACTCTTGGATATATTTGATGAGATCTCATGATGAGGTTTCGTCTTTGGTTCAACAATTCCATTAAATGGTGCTGACACAATTTGGGGTACGAGTGAAAGTGTTTAGATCAGACAATTCTAGGAATACTTTGAAAAAAACCTGGCATCATACCTATTGGAGCATGGAGTTATCCATCAGAGCAGTTGTGCATACACTCCACAACATAATGGTGTAGCAGAAAGGAAGAATAGACATATTGTGGAAGTAGCAAGAAGCATGATGTTGAGCTCTATAGTTCCAATTCGTTTTTGGGGTGATGCAGTTCTTATAGCAGTGTTCTTGATTAACCGGGTGCCTTCTCGAGTTCTTGGATAAAACAATCCGTTTAGCCTTCTTTTTCCTGAGGGGGAAACATTCCAGATTCCTCTAAGGGTGTTTGGATGTTTATGCTTTGTCCATGTTCTCGGTCCTCACCGCTCAAAGCTGGATCCTAAGGCGAAGAAGTGTTTCTTCCTTGGGTATACAGAAAATCAGAAGGGGTATTATTGTTATGATCTAGTCTCCGAGAGCCAATATGTTATTATGGATGTCACCTTCTTTGAGTCCACACATTTTTTCTCGGGGGGGTTATTCTCATGGGAGTGTTTTGGAGAAGGAAATATTCCTGTCTCTCACTGTTTTACACACAACAATGCCTACGAGCACAGGGAGGTTGATTCCACAGTAGAG